ATGCAAAAAACGACGCACCGGAGTAATGTTTGCACATTCAAGGGGAACCTGACGGATGGAGGGGGTCTCTCTTCGCCCAGCAAGCGGATTCCCTCCTGCCAAACCGATTCTTCACCTGAAGCTCGCGACAATCACACCAAACCTGTGAAGAAAATCACCATGGCCACACGCCCGCGTTTCGGCCGGTGTTGTTTCAAACTTGTCCTCGCAGTTCCCCTTTCCAAGGGCCCCTCCCCTGGTCAGTGCTCAGCCGGCTCAGCCCCCCCCCCCTTCCGCGTTTGGACGAAAGTATCCCCCCAGCCCATGGCGATATGTCTGAAAGGAACTTAGGTCTCTTCGCGGCCTTTCGAAATTGCGCATCCCGTTTTGGCATCCTGCTCTTGGGGCATTACGTGGCATGGGCTTTGGTTTCTAAAATGCTTTTGGCATCACCTGGTCGGGAAAAGCATGAGCTCATGGGTTTGGACAAGTCATTGAGCAACTAGCTGTGGGCCTCGCTGTTGGCATCCGTTTTTGGACAATGGAAGCAAACCTGGGACCAGTCTGCTCTCCCTGCTTCACCCCCCACTCTCAGCCCAGACACGGTGGGGGCGGCTCCTTGAGAGGCTCCGCTCCTGACCAGGTTGGTTTAGGAGTGCTTCTGAAAGGCTTCGGTCCCTCAAATGGTTGGCTTCCTTTCTGTCCCGTTTAAATACCAACCAAAAAGGCAACCATTTTGAGAACCTCCCTTGGCTTGGTGGTCAGAAGCTGTCCATTTTCGCCTCGAGAACCCCAGGGGTCAAGCAAGGAAAGCAACCAGTCCAAACACATTTAGGGTTACTGGAGGTACGCCTTCCCGCCAAAAGAAAGGACTCAGACCAGTGCAATATCAAACACAACTATATGCTTGCAGCCATCCTCAAATAAAACGAGCTACACCCACCCCTCCCCCCCCTCCCCCCCCCCAAAAAAAAAACAAAACTCACCACACAAACACGATTGCCCGCCCACCAACTAACATGGAACCGGTTTGGACCACTTTCCTTTTGAAGGGACCCCAAACGTCAGGTTCCATGTAACAAGGGTGGGAGAGCAATAACAAACCCAACCGACGCCACTTCTAACAAGCCGAAGTCTAACGCACACGCCATGCGTGGGTGATTTGCGTGTGTTGCTTAGGTCCAAGTTATTCGGTATGTTTGCTTGACTGCTATTGGGTTGGATCTTTAGACTTTCACTTTTGGGGAAATAAAGTTAAACTTTTTGCAGGGAGGTCAACAGCAACCAAGATTGGGGCTGTACAAATGCTTCGTTCTATGATTTTCCCAACAGCCACAGCTGGGTCTTCGCCCAGCCAGGCTTTGGGGCACTTTTGTGTTTTGATACTTCAAACACATTTAAGCACGAAATGATGATTTCAGTCCTATTTTTGGATGTAGCATCTAGCCACTTTTTCAGGCCGAAACGGATCTACAGGTCAACGTTTGTCGCGAACCCTTCATTAATTTGCTCTGAGGGACCTTGTGTCGACCAACCCTCAAAAGAGGGTCTTACCCTTCCAACGAAAGCATTCTGCCTTGAAATACGCCTTTCCCACTTTTCTGAAGGATCTGAAAATCAGTGGCCGGCCCGATAGTTTGCCCTAAAGATGCGGGGATGAAATCGATCCAGCCAATGGCATCCAAAAAGGGGGCCCTTTTGGGAAAACACCTAGGGGTTGCCGCTTAAAGGGCATGAAAGACAGAGAAACCCAACGTTAAACTATCCAATCTAATACCAATACCAGGGAACCACAACTATGGGCGCCCACGTCGCTCCCCATGTTTAAAGTGAAAGGACTCTCTAAATGTCCTCAAATGGTTGGGATCCAGAAGGGAAACGCCGAATTTGTTCAGCGAATTGTGGCAAGATCTTGGGTATCGTCCGCTCCTCCGGGCGGTGCTTCCTTCGGCTCGAAGGAGGGCCTCAAATGGCCATCCGACGTGTTGGGCCCAAGGAATAGTACCAGGTGGCTTTTTCCTCGAGGCTACCCTGGGTTGCTGTTGAGAAAAAACACTCCTGGACATGTGTTTTGTCTAGGGAGCCCAAATCTTGGCGAAAGAACATTTGCTTCCGACGATGTCAAGGTTGGGCTGGGCGTGAAGCCAGAAGCTTGCAACTATTTCTGAGCTAGCCTGAAGTAGGACATTTGTCCAAAGAAGGCACCTTGATCACGGAGTCATTCTACCCAAAGCTTATTGCTTGAGGTGCAAACACATGTTTGTGTGTTGTTGCTTTTTGGCACCCCTCCCAACGTGGCCCAAAACACGGTTTCCGGAACGTTGGCCTTGCCATGTTCGGAAGACAAACCCCCCAAACGTGCGAAAATTTGACCCCTGCCCCTTTCACCACTTGGCTTGGCCCAACTGGCTCAACATGGGGATCCTCATCCTGTAGCGTCCTTGGGGGGGGAGGAACCTTTTATTCTCCAGGCAACTGGGAAAAGGACAACGCCGGTTTGCTTGCTACTTCCTCAAAAGCAACTCCAGGTTCATTCCCCAAACCCCTCTTGACTCCCTACAGGGGTGGTGTCTTTTTGTTCGGGCACCCCTAAAAATTGTAGTTGCTCTTTTGGCTTGCTCTTAAAACCGAGACAAAAAAAATGTGACCTCAAAAAAGACACACCCACAGGGCACTGGCAAGTTGAGGGCCGCAAACGTCGCCTTCTCTCCCCTCCCCACGTCCGTTCCCATCACTTCGTTTCGCGGTGCGGTGGCTCGACCTTGGGATGAATCTTCACGCCGCCGCTGCCGCCGCCGCCCAGGACGTAGAGGACACCCCCAGACAGCAGCATTACCGTGCACCTCGTGCAGTGCAGTGGCTGCGTTCTGGAGGAAAGTGACAACGCATCCCTCTAGAGGGAAAGCAAATGCCCTGAGCTGGCCGAAATTGGCGGTCACAAGCAGGCCCAAGGGCTCGAAGGAATGCCCACTGTTTGCTTAATTCAACAAGGACTGGCCCCACATGGCCCCACCATGGAGCCTTGAAGTGTCCTGGCGTCTACTAAGCTGGTACAAGCGTGCAATGGACAGCTGGCCAACCCGATGTTCGGCCTGAGCATCTACAAAGCTCATTTCCGATACCTAAGAAACGCATCTTTTGGATGGCCTTTGAACAGCCTGCTGCGACCCCAGCTTTGGGTGGAACAAGTTGATCAACTTAGAGGTCAGGTGGGGTGCATGTTTTACTGCCACTGATGGAAGTCCCAAAGGGTTGGACCTGGTTGGCTAGCTGGGAAAAAAACACGTGCCAACTGCCACCAGGCCGGGAAATGGAGAAGAACAGCCGCTTGATTTGGCCCCCCCCCATCTTTCCCTGCATCACTTGCGGGGTGGCGGTTTTTGCCGTGTTCCTTCCTTCTTTCGGCGGGGGCCAATCAGCTCAGCGTCCATCTGCAACGCTGCTGCGGAGGGCTCCACTCAAACTGCTCACATCCCCCACGTTTGGAGGTCCAGCAAAACTGACTTGAAGTGACCTTCCTTGGGGCGAAGGGATGTTCAGCACCCAGTTCCTTTCTTTGGCGAAGCCCTAGTTTAAACACTTGTTCCACCAACCTCCTTTGCGTTGCCTCCAGCTTGCTTCACAAGTCGTGGCCGACGGCTTGCCGAGGCGCAGGACGCTCAAAGTCACCACGAAGATCACGGTGAGCTGCTGGGAACTCGCGGCGCTCAGGCAGGCCTCGCTCACGCGCCAGCGCTGGTCCGTCCAGCAGATGACCACCTGGATCCCGAGCCGAATCCAGCAACGTGACGTGTGGTTTGGTTGGGTTTGGCTGTTCAGTTTGGTTTGGCTGCACATATCACCCCAAGGAGATGTAGCAATGTAGCGCATGTTCGATCTAGCCTTTCCAGGCCCAGTCTCAGGTATTTAGGGGTTCATATGCTTCATGTGTCGAAACCGGGCGTTTGCTGGAAGAATCAAGCAGCATCCGCAACATTGAATTGTTTTCTCAGAGCACTTTCCGGCGAACCCTCTCGAATGCCACACTGTAGACTCCAGCGGGCAATTCATGTCTCACACCGCCCAGAAGAAAATGTTTGAAGCCATAGGCAGCTATGTGGCCTGGGCCTGCCCCCTTCTGGTTGTGTTTTGGCGAGTGTTTGTACTGCCTTATTGGTTGCTTCCTGCTTCCTTGCGTCCTTGATCGTTTGTTGGTTTATTGGTGTGATGGCTTGCTTGCTTGCTTGCTTGCTTGCTTGCTTGCTTGCTTGCTTGCTTGCTTGCTTGCTTGCTTGCTTGCTTGCTTGCTTGCTTGCTTGCTTGCTTGCTTGCTTGCTTGCTTGCTTGCTTGCAGCGGCCGCATCAGGGCTTCAGGGCTTCAGGCCTTCAAGGCTTCAGAGGCGGTTTCAGGTCTTCGGGGCTTCAGGGCTTCAGGGAGTCAGCAGGGCTTGGGCGAAGACACGAAGACAAGAAGACACGAAGACGCGAGTCTTCAGGGCTTCAGGTCTTCAGGGAGTCAGCAAGGCTTGGGTGAAGACGCGAAGACGCGAAGACACGAAGACGCACGTTTTCAGGGCTTCAGGGCTTCGGGGAGTCAGCAGGGCTTGGGCGAAGACACGAAGAAGTGAAGACGCGCTACCACTACCACTACCACTACCACTACCACCACCACCACCACCACCACCACCACCACCACCACCACCACCACCACTACTACTACTACTACAACTACTACTACTACTACTACTACTACTACTACTACCGCTACTACTACTACTACTACTACTACTACGACTACTACTACTACTCCTACTTCTCCTATTGCTGCTACTGCTGTCTTACTTGACAGGAGTAGCCTGCATTGACGCGTGAAAGCGCTAGGAGTTAGCTGGTCTACTTGGCCTACTGTAGCTGCCCACGCGCAGAATAACACTTAACACCTAGGTTTTATTGTTAAATGAAGCGGATGAATCATGCAAACCCCACTGGCAGCGCAAGCTTCGCGCTAGCTCGGCGCTAGGGCGGGACTGTGTGAGGGACATGGAATGTGAGATGCGGATGTTTTCATGCATCCTGCGCAGTGGCCCCTTCTGCAACAAAACTAGAGCGGCGGCAAAAAGCTGAGCGCATAGGCAATTCCGCGCGCTAACGCCGCGTTAGCAGGCAGTTGCCAAACTTAACACTAGAGCACGTGCCTTGTTGGGGCAACATCCAGCCACCGCTTGCATGTTTCTTGGCTATGGTTGTAAGTCAGGTTGCGTAGTTACTGGGCGCCATGTCGCCAAAGCTCTCCAAATGAGACAAAACCAATCTGAAAGCATCTCCTCAAGTAGTTCATCCGAAAGCAGCTAAGAGAAGGCCCGCGCTAGTGCGAGTTATTGTACATTTCTCAAGTCAAGCCTATTGTGCCGCAATAGTTACGTATTCATATTGCCCGAATGATACGGGCCCCCATGGAATGGCGATTTACGCTACAAAGCTTGAACGTGTTGATCTGTCTGCTCAACGGCGAAGGGTTTGTGGGCGTTGACCATGCGCTGCAGCTCTGTATCCCTGTGAAAGTGATGACGTAGCACGCTTCCAGCCTGTCTAACAGCCACTCACCTGCGAGGGAGTCTTACGTTGGCCGCAGCTGCCAAGCGGCCTGTGACCATGAGCTTCCGCCTTGACCCGGCTTTTCAGATGGGCGCGGACAAACAGCGCGAAGCCGCTGCAGGGAGCTTCTAGGCGTGTGTGTAGTTCTGCAGCTCTCTAGTTGTGTCAACATGCGTGCTTCCAGTTTGAAATTACGCGTATGAGGCCAATCTCGGCAGTGGGTCACGCGCGCAAATCAGCGGCAAAGGTTAGCTACACACATTACAAAACACAGAGGCATGCGCCTTGAGGGCGTCAATCAAAGACACGAAAAACGCAAAGCTTCAAAGCTTCAGGGCGTCCGCATAGCTGTGGCGAAGACACGAAAACACGAAGACACGCCTCTCCTAAACGTCACAAGCGAAGACACAAAGACATAAAATTACGCATTTTCACGGAGTCGAGCAAAGACACGAAGCCGCGAGCCTGCGTGGCTTCCGAGCGAACTTAGGCGAAGACACAAAGACAGGAAACGCATCTTCAGACCTTTACGGAGGCAGCAGACCTGGGACGAAGACACGAAGACGCGAAGACACGAAGGACTCAACAGGGCTGGGCGAAGACACTAAGGCGCGAAGACACAAAGACAAGCATCTTCAGAGCTTCAAGGCTTCAGGGAGTCAGCAGAGCTTCGGCGAAGACACGCAGACGCGAAGAGACGAAGACACGCGTCTTCAGGGCTTCAGGTCAGCAGGGCTTGGGCGAAGACACGAAGACGAGAAGACACGAAGACACGAGTCTTCCGGGCTTCAGGGCTTCAGGGAGTCAGCAAGGCTTGGGCGAAGACGCGAAGACGCGAAGACGCGAAGACACGAGTCTTCAGGGCTTCAAGGCGTCAGGCTAAAAACGTAACCCGCTGCACCTGCTCTGCATTTGTTTTCTTCAATTTGTTCCCTTCCTTCCTGCCTTCCTTCCTCCCGTTCTTGCTTTCCTTTCCTTCCTTCCTTGCTTATTTTTGTTGTTCTGTCTTCTTTTTTTCTGCATTTGATGTATTTACTTTTTTTTCATTTTATTTGTTTGTTCTTCCTTTCATTCTTTCTTTCCTTCCTTCCTTCCTTCCTTTCTTTGTTTGTGTTGTTCTTTATGTTTTCTGTTTCTTTCTTTCTGTCTTTCCTTTCGTTAGTCCGTGCAATCTGTCTATGCTTGTTTGTGTGCGTGGTTGTGTGTGTGCAAGTTTGTGGGTAGATATGGCTGTATGTTTGTGTTTGTGCGACTGTTTAATTGATTGTCTGTCTGTTTGTTCGCCATTTCTAGCTGACTCCCCCACCAGCGCTCCTGAGCGAGGATTGAACCTGGAGTGGTTGCGAATCTTCGTGGGGCTACCTTACCATAAACTAAGTACCATGGTGTCCTTTTGGAGCAAATAGATGGCCCTGGTAGATGCTTAAACCACCAGGTAAACCAGGGCCATCTATTTTTCGACCAAAACAACCAAAAAGGACACCTATGCTAAGTACATAAAGGAATCCAAGGGCAAGAGAGGGCGGGGCTAGCTCCGTATTGACACATTGCGAAAGCCTCATCAGGAGCTTTTCCGTGGCAAATACTTGGGTTGTTCAGGTTTTGGTTGCTACCCACAAATGGACCAAGTAAACCAGACGTGTGTTGTCTTGGTCGTACCTGATCCTCCTGAAGATTACTATGAAACCCAAAACGCAGTCGTGCCGAGGAATCTCCATGCCGGGGGGGGGGAGTCCATGAGATTGCCGGTCCTTTGCAGGGCCCATTCCGAGATTCTTTGATTCCCCCTAATACCAAATACTGGCCACCCCTATTACTGCAAATACTGGGGCCGGAGGCACACGATATTTATTAATAGGGAACTTCGGTCCCCTTTCCCAGACACGAAAACCGCCAAAAATGTCAATTTCCGGGTAATGAATTGAATAACACTGTTCAAGGTCGCGATTCAAAAGCACGAGGCGCAATCACGAAATAAGCTTGACTTGGTAAAAGGGAATATGAATTTGGAACTTTAAAACATATGATGGAATGCCCCCTAATATTACTGGTGGCGAGATTGACGCTAAATCGGCAGGTTTAGTATTGGCTTCCAACTGCTGCATTCTAAAACTAGTACATTGGGGATCGGGGAGTCTGGGAAAAACGATATTCTTGTTAACAGGGTGCATCTACTAATACGGGGAAGCGATTCTGAGCCAACCCGCAACATGGAAATCGCAAGGGAAGAGAAACCTTGGCAAGTCAACAAGTTGCCAGAGTGTTCTGGGCCATTTTGTTGTTCATGTCTATCTGAAAGGGCGCATTCAGGGCATCAACCCGCTTCCGGCCGGGCGGCCGCTTGCACATCCGCCGACATCACATCGTCGCAAGGCGACCGGCAGATTTGGCCCACCCCAGGATCACCGGCGCAGGAGAAGTTGGAGGCGCCTGGCTCCGGCGGCAGAATTTGTATGGAGGTGCCTTCTTTTTAGGGGACCCCGAAAAGGTACCCTCAACAAAAAGACGAACAGGTACCCTCAAAAAAAGAGACACCCATACTTGTACATGTTTTTTTCCCAATGAACTGATGCATCTTTCATAGAGGACGGCAAAGACCCTTGAAGACTTGGGTTTTCTGCATGCGAGAATCGGGAAGCTTCCCGACCTAGCGCAAACCTCTCCAGGTCTAGGACGCTGTGCATATCCATTAGGTCCTCCAGATTTGAGAGGTTAGAATAAGTTGGTACCAGCTTTTTGCTGGGGAACCGAATCTCCCCCACAAAACGGGGAGAGAAGGGCACTACTGGGGAAAAAACCTAGTCCATGTTCGTTGAAAGGCATGGACCTGTGCGCTTTCAGCAGCAGGAGGAGAAAAAAAAAAAGGGGGAAAAACACAGCGGTCAACTTGCGACAACAGAGGTCCTGCCGCCTGGGAGAGCCCTACGAATCCACAAAGAGATGCCGCAAGACCGGAGCTGAGGCCACTTCACTGCGCCCCGCTCCAGCCGGCCAACTCTCGCACCGACAGCTTTCCGAGGAAAAGCCCTACGGTGCCATGGGCGAGTCATGGTGACCTCTCTTGATTCAAGAGTTTCCGCTTCTGTGAAGCTGGGCAGGGCAGACAGGCCTTTTTGTTTGGCACGGTGACCCTGCCCGATGGGTTAGAAAGTGCATTATAAAGTTTGAGGCCAACCAGCTGGACAAACTTTAAGGGGCTCAACTGCAGCCCAAGTAAGCATGCCGTCAGGAAAATATGGCTGTCTGCTTGGGGTTTAGAAGTATGTTGGCCATCACGCACATCGTCTCTCTCTCTCTCAGCGCTGAGGGGCAAAAGACAAACTCTAAGTGCTTGCTGGCTTGCGCCCAAACCCTGTGCTAAACATTGGGCTGTTTCTACCGCTTTCACGCCACAGCTGCCCCGCAATTTTCAATATGCCACGATGGGCAGGAACAAAACGCAACCAAACCTGAGCCATGAATCCGGAGAACCATGAATCCACAAACCTCTGCGGAAGAACAAAGGGGGCAAAAAAAAACAAAGCCTGGCAGCCTGCCAGGCAAAGCGGAAGGCAATCTTCACCTTTTGCCCTCGGAAACCAAGGGTCCCGCCTCAAGTCGCGTTTTTTTTTTGGGAACCTAAATTCTGGGTTCAAAGAAGCGGGCAGCAAAGCAGCGCAAGGCAAAGAGGCAAAGCAAGCCAGCTAGGGAGAAATGGCCAAAACCCGGCGGGTCAGCTTCTGGCCATAGGTCTCCTTTTAGGGTAAATAGATGGATTTCTCTGGTAGATGACTAAACCACCCGGTAAACCATGGCATCTATTTTTCTACCAAACCCACCAAAAAGAAAAAACCCGTGCTTCTCGCACCCTCCTATCCCGACGCCTTCAATGGAAGGCAAGAACGCCGAAGTGCAGAGGAAGGGCTGCGTGGTGACCTAAGACGCAAGACCCGAAAGCCGAAGGCGCCGAAGGCGCCGAAGGTGCCGAAGGTGCCCGGTGACCCGGGTAGCACAGGGAGCCCGTTTGAGTCACCGGTTTCAAAGCGGCTGGCCTGTGCTTTTGTTGTTGCTGGCTCCCGGTTCAACACCAGGCCCCAAACTCCATGTGCATCCAAACTAGGTCCGGCGTTGGTCCTAATGGCTTCCAGGTTGGGGGGCAAGAGGCGGAGAGTTCTTAAGGTCTCTGCCGCGTGATGTTTGGGCGCCTGAAATCCAACTGAGGGTGGGTCTTGGGTTTGTTTGATCCCGGCTGCTGTTGGGTGGGATTGAGGTTGACTTTGGGTGGGGTTGGAGTGGGGCTGATTTGTGCTAGGCGTGTGGCTGCTTTAGTAGTGGCTTGCGGCCCACATCCTATCCCAAACCAGCCCCACATTCACGTCACGAATGCGTGTTTTTTCTTTCACCGAGGGGTCTGTTTCTTTGATACACATATTGGGGTGGTTTAAAAGGAAAAGGAACACCACCAGTTTCAGTTTAGCCTATGATGGAACGATTCACATCTCTGATCTGTGAACCTAACGCGAGATGACTTGTGACTTTGAATGAAGTGGAAGTGGAAAGGGGGCCTTCTCATGAGGATAGCTGCCCGGGTTCAACCCATCAGTTGCCATCTTAAACAGTCGGCGCCCCTAACCGGTTCAGTGGGTTCCAGCTGGCCCCTCCAAGCCCTAATGCCCTGTCTGGCACCAGCACCCTCTTTTCAACAATCATGGACGACCATGGAATCTCAGAGGATTTCGGAAGGCAACTGCTGGCAACAAAGTCAGCATGAACCTCATTTCGGAACAAATCCAACCAGTCAAACAAAATTGAAATCAGAACTGTTGTATTTCAAACTAAATTCTGCACAGGAGTTCCTTTCCAATAGAACCTGCTTTGCAGATCAGTTAGCCGCAATGAACCAGCACGCAGCTCCTTTCCGACAGAATGTGCTATAGGCTGTAGAAATCAGTTGGCATGTCAGCACAATCCTAGCATGGCCAGCATCGCTGCAAGCTGATAGAATCAGAGCTCGATTAAAAAACAAGAAACAGAAACAGAAACACACCTGCAAATGCATCTCCAGCATCCCTGCATCAGCTCCACAAGTTTTAATCTGGACTTGCCCCATCTTTGCTCTGTCTTGAGCTTCAAAATCGGCACGAATTTGAAAACCCCAAGGTAAAGCACCTGACAAATCGTGAGCTCCTTTTACTGGGCCAATCCATACCTTTGACCAATCTGCACCCGTCCCCGTCGTCGGGCGGGCGGCTGTGGTGGTGCTGGTGGCGGTCACCGTTGTGACAGTCACGGTGGAGGTCGCCACTGCGCAGCTGGGCATGCTGCCTGCGCGCATGCGCATCCGCATCCCCCGCTGGTTCCCATCGGGCGGGCATTGGACCCTTTGGCTGACCTCATTGTGGGGGTTGACTAGGTTTTCCAGTGGAGAGGTTAGAATAAGGGTACCAACTTTTTGTCTGTAGTCTATTTTAGTAGGGGAACCCTCCCCCAAAAAAGGGTAGAAGGGCACCACTAATTAACCTAGTTGATCCATTTTCCATTTAGGGGCCACACATGACCATGGGGAACTGTTTTTCCCCCCCCCCATTTTGTGAGGCACTTTAGCTTTTTTTTTTGCGATTTTCCAACCAATGGTCATCCCATGTGAATGACATCTTGGTCAACCCCCGCATAGCTGGCTGGATCCCTGTCCGAAACATTCCCTGCGCACCCCAGCCACAGGATAGGATTGCATGCTGGCCCAATTCAACAGGGCGCCTGAAAAGGGGAAGGGCGCTTCATTGATTGGGTTACAACTACCCAACTGTTTGTCAGAAGAACAAAAACAGCGTCCAACCGTGAAGTCAACAGCTAGCTCGGGTAGGCCACGTGCTGAGGTTTGAAAGGCCTGCGACTTGTGAGAAAGCCGAAGCAGCGTCCCCAACACCCCGGAACCTACCTTGCTCATTTGCTCCACCCCAACCCGAACCAGGTGTTGAGGAAGGAGCAGGTTTGAGAAGAACCGAGCAGAAAGGGAGAAGGAATGCCACTGGAGCTCTGGCTCGGTTTATCACGTGCGGGAGACACTAAAATTCGGGACCGGCCATTGGAAACCCAGCACCTGAGAGGAAACTCAGCACCTGTGTCCCTTGAGGAAGCACCTTGGGATTGCAGCTGACCCTAGGTGCTCCTTAGCCTGGTTGCAGCGGACAAGCAATCGCAGTCCGGCATCGTCAGAGCTCAGCCCTACGAAAAAGGGCTAACACATCTTTCCACTAAGCAGTGACACGACATTCATTCCGGGCACACGGCTCGGCAGCTCAAATTCCTGTAAAGCAACTCGAGCCGGGAATAAGACAAACAAAAAAACAACAACAACTAAACATCTCCACACCTTGGCGGCCATCTCAAGCTGATGTTCCTCTAAAGGGGCCTGCAGACCTGGGCCAGCTGCAGGCTGGCGTGGGCTTTATCCATGGTTTTCAACCCGGCCCTTCTGTTCAGACAGCTGCGGTTGACCGTCAAGGCTGTTTCGTGGCTTGGAAAGAAGGACCCCTCAATGACTCAATCAGTCTCCCTCCAATTGGCGGTTTGGACTGCCCTGGGCTGCAAATCCAAATCCAAACCACCAATCCAAGCCACCAATTGCTGGCCCCAGTATTCCACCAGAATCAAAGTCACCCCCCAAGTGGGAAACCACCCCAGTTTTTCCAGAAACAGTCAAATTAATGACCTCAGACCTTGGGGGGGAACCTGAAAGCCCAACACTGGGGCTTGACGCCCCAGGCCCCTTGGGGAGCCTCCGCCGTTCGGGCCGCTTCTCCCCCGCCTGTCAGGGACGATGTGCCGTCGCACTGCAGGGTCTGCGGGGTGCCCCAGAAGCCTGCGGCACAGGAGACCACGCAGCTCTCGCCTGGCGTTGGGAGCGAGATACATGCATGCAGGACCCCCCCCCTCCTTTGCGATTGATTTTGACTAAAGGACATGCCATCGTTTTTGGGGGCGTCCCCTATTCTACGACACAGCCATGCAGCGAGAACTTCCGACGGGAGGTCTGGAAGAACCCGGGGGTGCTCCACTTCAGAGGGAGTCCTTCACTAGGGATGCATGAAGCCATGAATCCAGGGACGACAATCCGAACTAGAATATATCACATTGACCCCAGAAAACTCACCTAAACGGAACAAGTGGAGCACTAAAGAGAGGGGACGACCCCTGATAAATATAGTTCTGCACCAAAAAAAAGACAGGCCCGCAGAGTCTTCCAGGAAGGGTTGAATTAAGCTTCTTAGAAGGGTTGTGCAAACCTCGTTGTGGAGTTGAACGGGGCAGGGTCCAACTTTGTCTCTTTGTTTTGGCGACCCCCTTTTCCTGCAACCCTTCGCCTATTTTGAGCCCCAATGTCATATGATTGTGTGGCTTTTGGGTTCTCACAACAGGGCGGCTACAGCCCCCACATGTTTTCGATTTTCCTGGCTGCATGACATGAATCCTCCAGGTTCACAAGGACCAAACTTGCACCCAAACAGCAAAGAAACCACATGGCCATGGGTCAAAATCCCGTACCCCCGGTGAACATCCCAATCCCCATTAAAATAGACTAAAATGGGTGGTGAATTCACCTACCCTAAAATCGTACCATTGGATTGGACCCACAGCCACATCTCTGGAATTTGGCACAGCAAGTCGCGGCCTGCCGGAGCTTGGCCGTTTCTTGAGGAATACCGAAAGAAAAGCAACTGCCACTCACACATACGGAAAAGCACGGCGAAACGATGGTCAAAAGAAAAGCAGCTGTCCAAAACACATCTGTTCACTTGCATGTTTGCTGGTGAAAGGCATCACATCGAGAAGTCCGTGCTTGCTGGTTAAAGGGCGTCCACTCGAGAAGCAAGGGTCATTCTCCTTACGCCTGCTATTTCAAGGTTGCTTTGAAACATACAAGCTCAGCCATCCAGGGCTCCCGTGTCAGGTCCGGGACTCAGCTTTGGGATGCGCAAAGCAAACATACGCAAGTCACAGAGTGCATGCGCCCAACACACGCGCACATTGCAGCCCGTGTTTCGTCAGGCGGTCAACAAGAGCTGCTGTTGGGTTGAAAGGGGGCACTCAACTTTTGAAGAAATGCCACTGTAAGGTCACAGGGCGAAGAAATTAAACACAACAAATTGTCACCAGCCGGGCGAGCGGATTGCCTGTCTTGACCCCATCACAGTTGTGGTCGTACACCCCTCCCACGGGCAAGTTGTAGAGACCTTGCAGATCCGCGTCGCGACGGCTCGGATCGGCCGAATTTCTGATGATTTGTCTCCGGCTGAGAGGTGACCGGTTCCGGCTGATCTGCCAGTTTGGGTCCAAGACATGAAAGGGTTTGTGGGGCGTGCGGCGTGCGTGGCGTGTGGCGTGGCGTGGCGTTGCGTTGTGGTGCGTGCGTGCATTCGTGCGTGGCGCAGGTGGGTGGCGTGCATGGTGTGCGTGCGCGGCGTGCGTGGGTTGCGCGCGTGCGTTTCCCTGCCAGAGTCAAAGGGCCATTTGCTTTGTCCTGACCCAGCAACACAGAATTTCCCTTTCATGCCAGGATGCCAGATATCACTTTCCCACTCAAGAAAAGCTAACCTGCAAAAGGTAACGTCATGCCTCGCAAGGAGTCAACTGACTTTTGCGTCGCCACTCAAACAAAAAAAAGAAACAACTGGCTGAAATTTCAAATAGCGGTGTGCAAGTTCCCAAAACTTTCCCACTCCACACAGCATGCAAGGAAGGTAATCCCGATTGCTTTAGCAACGATCCCTGCAAAGGCCCAAACATTCTTGAAAGCGTGGCCCAAAAACAGAAATTAGCATGCTTTCCATGAACCATTGGTTTGCGGCCCCATTCTAGCCACCTTTGAAACACGCAACGCATGTGAGCGTTGGCCCAAGAGGACATGGACATTTAGCCAGTCCTTTGTCGTCTGCCAGTCAAGCTCCATTCTGCGGGTCATACTCGAGGCTCATTCAAGAGAAACCTTCACAATCCAGCACGGCCCCCAAGCACTGCTTGTTGGACACGGCTTGGGATTTTGGACATGGGAAACAGCATTTGTGGAGGGTGTGCTAGATGGCTGTCCCAATTGCGGGGTGATCGCGGTCCCCCGTCCGACGTGTCCCCGGGATATGGTTGGTTTTTATCACTTTGCCGTTCCACCATAAGTTGTCAGGGTCGGCCCTAGCACACGTCACGAAGAAGAAACAAAGGTGACGCCACCCCTCTTTAAGCAAGCCTCAAAGAGCCTCACAGGGCTTATGCTCGAGGTTGGTACCTGCAGCAGCCTGGAGATTCTGGTTCTAAGAGGTCCAACCAAACGAGCGCTCTCCATGGGAAGCTTGGCGAGTGAGGTCGGAACCCCACAGCCTCCGTGAGGCCCCCCCCCGTGAACCTGAAAGCCACCTCTGGCAGCGAAAGTCTTCTGGACACAGCGGGGCCTTTTTTCGGACTCCCTGCCGGCAATGACGCGGAAACCCAAACAAGCTGAGTCCCATCCCTGAAGGATATGATTACAAACATAGATGGGATTTTGATGTGTGTTCTAGGCTATTCTTGCAGAACATGGGTACTCATCTGCGAGCGACGCCAATTCAATTGGTTTCCATGACTCCTTTATCACTTACAGAAAGTGGCAATCCAAAATCCACTTGTTGCATAACCATGCCTTTACTTGGAGCCTACCACCTGGTTGATTAATAGCGGGCCCAGATAGTAAGCAGGCATTCTCCCGCACAAGTTACGTTGGAACCTCAAAAAGGGGAGTCACTCCCCAGAAGGAGCTTCCTCTACACACCCGCGTCTTTTTGGGAAACCAATTAATCTGCCACTCGCCTTTTCTTCAGCACTTGATTTTAAAGGGACACCCAATCCAAAAAAAAGGTACCCTCCCTCCCACTAACACAGCTGACAGCGGGTCCATTGAACAGGCCATTGACCTTCCCGGTTTTCTTCCCACAGCCGTGCTTGTTGGGAGGGGTACCTCACAAAGACGAGAGGCACTTGGACGACGAGACCGGCCGACTGCCGACTGCCGACTGCCGAGGTGCAGGGCAAGGGCTCGCAGCTGGGGAGACTCCCCCGGAGCCCTACGCCATTGGTCTCCGTGAGCCCGGGGACCAAAGATCCTGCGCTGACGCCTGGGATGGGATGGTCGGCCCGTCGACATGCCAAGGGGTCAGGTTGGCAAGAGCAACCCACTTATCAGTCCCCTTGGTTTGGCCCTACTGGTGGGTAGCTGGTTGTTAGGTAGCCGACTTTAGCAGTCCTTTCAGTGGGATCGACCCTGTGAGCCCAAGTGGCTTGAGGATTGATGCTAACTACTAACCCCATGAGCTTTAACCATGGCATATGGGTGTGGCTCCTTGTTTTGAGGGCACCCTTTTTAAAAGGCGTTTCAACGGAAATCCGACGCCATCCAGTCTCTTGCAAAAACAAACCCACAGGAAACAAAACAGCCGCCCGCTCTTTAGAGGAGTCGGCTTTCGGGATTGAACGATTGGCGGGTTCTTATCGGGCTTTCTGTGCATTTGAGGATTTCCCGCTTTAATGGTAGTTGGCCATCGCGCCTCAATCCCTTTATTCAGTAGATGAGAACAAACGATTGCTCACGCAGCTCACGACTAGGTTTAGAACAACTCACCGACCGAAAGTAGGGGCGGAACCATGCCACAAAGCGACACCCACCCACACACACACACACCCAACAGGGGATCCCCTAAAGATTCTGTGGCTAAGTCAAAAGGGCTTAGCCACCCATAGGAAACTAATCAGGCCTCGCATGCCTGGGGCCCCTTCCTGGAACCTTTGTTTCAATGACTTGCTTGTGCCAATCATAGCAATCTGAATCCCGTTTCATTTCGCCCCGGCCTGGTCCAGTCCTCCTCCCATCTATTTCCTCTACCAGCAGATTGGGTAACTTCCTTCCCGACCTACTTTGTGCTCTCTTTCGAGAACTAAGGCCGAACTGTTGTCCAACGCCGAAGGTTTGCCCTGGGCTCCCGCCTTCGCAGAGCAAGCGCTGGTACTTGGTGCCCGTGGCATTGTACCCCGCCGCGCACATGGTGAAGCAGTGACCCCCGAAAACCACCCCGGCGCAGGTGTGGTCCTGTGTCTGGCAAGGCCATTTGGGTGTGGGCCAAAATTAAGCCACCAGGGGCCGCTTGTTTTAGTCATGGGTTCCATTTACCAGGGTTCCATTGGGTACCCCCCATTCTTGACCCACAGCCATTTGGGTGCTGTTTGGAGGGTTCCCTTGCCAGGTTGGTCTATCAGAAAACCAGAAGGAACCGGGGGGGGGTCCCGCTATGTTACCGGCGCCATTGCAACAAGTCTGACAAGTGGCAGTCTTGAAGCAGAAGCCCGGTGGCCCCAGTAGAAAAAGAAATCTCTTGTTGTGGAAGGGGGGTTAGGAGCCTTGCTGTTTTCAAACGATTCCTATCAAGCAAGATCAAGTGAGTAAGCACAACAAACTATGCCGCCTTCCTCCCTGCGGTAGTGCTGGCCCAGAGTTGTGATTCAAGGAAGGGTCTCTGCTTCAGCTGGGAGTTCCATTGTTCCATGGGATCCTTCTGACTGTTTGGGCCGCAGGTTGTCAATCAGCAATTTATCACACGCCGACAGTCCGGGCAAACTGCTACAAGTCCGAGCTGGAAATTAGGGAATCCGCAAGTAAGGGACCTTCATCATGGAGACCAGCGCTCGTATTACCCCCGGACCCATGAGCTCGGTATAAGTTGCCCAGAACATGGCCTCTGGAAAAAACCTGACGCACGCCCAACTCCCTGCAACGACTCGGCATGCTTAAAGGACTCCAACGCGACGTGGTTGGGGTCCGTGCTGCGTTGACACTTTGAGGATTTCCAGCTGCAAAACACTTTGTTGCTTTGTTTAATTGTCTTAAGGGTGTCCAAGGGCGTCCAGCCGAACAGTCTCAGTGTCCTTTTTGCCTGGCTGAAAAGAAAGCATCAGGCGCGTGCAAGAACAGCTTCCCTAGTCCCAAACCTCCAGTGGATGTTGGGGAAAAAGCACCTGCTTTGGTTGAACTGAAGGCTCCCCTTCAAAAACCAAGTTGACAAAAGGGCCGCTGGGGAACAAGATTGTGGCTAAATCAAGAGAAGCCCAAGTTTGGAAGGAGGTCTGTCTGTCCCTCGCCCTCAGGTTCAAAAGCTGGGCTTTCCCTCAGCACTGGGGTTTCGTCCATACCACTGCTCCCTGGGAGCCCCCCCATTTATAGTATATCCCGTGAAACCCCTTGGGGTAGTGGTTTGGGGGTGGAATTTTGGAAAAACCATGCTACTCCGAACAGGGAACTCCTAGTAAGAAGACCCTGATTGTGTCAGATCTGGGCCGGCCTCAGATCCCCTGCGAACCCCGAAAACTACCCCTAAACCCACTAAAAAAACAAAAACAAAAAACAACTGAGGAACTACCCCTAAACCCACTAAAAAGCAAAAAACAAAAAACAAACTGGAAACTACCCCAAAAGCCAAAACAATCCAAACGAAACACCGAAATAGCCGGATCTTCCCCTAAAACGCTCAACAAAGCGAGACCTGAGGAGCCGAAAGGAACCGTTGATGGCTCCAAGTCGCCAGCCCGGTGACGCTCAGGGCGTGGTCGCAAGGCACAGGCTGGCAGGCGGCGGAGCTGCCCGAGGCGGTGCCGTCCTGATGGTTCGGTTTTGCGGGGCGGTGGAACGGGAGCGAGTCACTAGGCTGCCCTCAGGATCTGCTGAAAGCTGCACTTTGAGTGGGTTTAATGGGAACTTGGGCCCGGAACCTCCAAGCTCAGGTTGCCCCTTGGTGGTTTGCACAGAGCTCACCTATGAAGTGTTTTTCCTTGGGGATTCCTTGCTTCAGGCTATTTATCACGTATCTTTTGGTGGTTTGGATTGGTGGTTTGGATTTGGAGTTGAAGCCCTACCTGAAGGGCATTCCCTTAAACTTCATCCCTGAATTCAAACCTAGTGGTTTCCAGGGGGTTCAATTCCCGAAACCACCAATGCAAAAATCCGATTAGGGGGTTACCTGAATGGGGGAATGGGCCCAAATAGGAAAACAAAAAGGGGGGTGGGCCTGAAATAGGGAGAACCCCCTGGCTCAACAAAGGGGGTCTGGACAATTGAGCTGCCCCGTCGAGTTCCTTTGAGGAAGCGGACATCTGCGAGTAGAAATTCAGGATAACTTGACGCGCTTTGTGGCTGGTGTTGAACGTGAAACCCCAGTAAAAACAAAAGACCATTCTGTTTGGAGCAATCCTTGAGTTCCTGAACTTTCATATGGCACGGCAATGATGCCCACCACAAGTGAACGCTTGCAGCCTGGCAAGGATACTGCTTCGAACACTGCCTGGCTGGACACTTCTCGTCTAATTGTTGTCCCCCAGCCAACATAAGCCTCCAGCTGAACAAGCATTGCATGACCATATCCCCAACATTTCCCCATGTGTCAGAATTCCCAGAACCAGCCAGCCAGCAAACCTAACAAGAAAGCTCCTTCTGAGTATTTCTCAAAATGGCAGATCCTTGTTTGGTTGGCATTTAGACGGAAACCCCACGGGCAACCAAGAACCTTTGTGGACCGACTCTTATTTGGACAACCCCCACACGCCCAAACCTCAGCTCGCGAGAAGCTCCCCCCTTTGGGGCCTCTGAGCACGTGTAGGCGCTGGTGGGGGCAGTGCTGCTGTACCCGAAGGCGCAGTTTTGCACGCAAGTTTCTCCTCCGACGGAGTGGTCAAAACTTACACGGTTGCTTTGTGCTCCCCTGCGAAAAGTGACTAACTGTTAGTGGTTTAATACGGAAAACCCATGCGTTGGGAAAAAGTGAAGTCCTAAGATCCAAGCAAAATGCACCAAAGAAAATCAGGGCTCCTTTTCTTGCTGGTGCTCGGTGAGGAATGACCACTCGGGTTTTGGGAATGAACCGGAAGGGGATTCCCTTAAAGGAAGCCACCAGGGATTGTTTTTAGGAGTCACTCCGTCATTCCCTGCTGAGCACCAGTAAGTTGTTGGGGATCTGCTTTGAAAGCTTCAACATGCACGAGACGGCACTAGGGTCCCAAACTGGGGCCATCCTTTCTTGACCACCCTGATTTTAACCAAACAAAGGGGCGTCCCATCGGGCGTACACCCCACTCGGAGTCGGCCAGATTCTACTTGGGTCCGGGGTCGACATTCGTGGGCCCAAAGCTCATGGATATGAGCAGGCTTGGTGCCCGAAAAGCAAGACTCCGACATATCTCCATGCACTTCCTACACATACAGAAAGTGCCCGTGGCAAAAGAAGAACTGGTTGAACCAACATGCAATCACGCCGTGGCCATCTGTGGTCTTTACACAGTAAGTACGAGTACCTGAACAGAACCGCTTGCGGCTAGCCACCATGTCACATTGATGAACAAGCAGTTGCCAAAAGCCAAGACAGGAAAGCTACGCTTGAAAACAATTGGCTTCTTCCTGGTGATGACGATTCAGTTGAGCAAATCAGGAACCTTGCTGCGGCAAATGGCCGCGTTAAGCTCCTCCGCAAAAAATAATAAAAACAATATTTCCTTAAAGCTGGCAGCCTTGCAAAACAGGCGCAGAAGTGACACGGCAGCCTTGGCTTGCTACTTTTCCATTCACAGCTGCTTACCGGCCCCAAACCTTTCTCGCCGTTTCGGCAGTCTCGAGGTCGCCCTCGAATTGGCAAATGCTTGCAAGCACCAGCTAACTCTCGACAGGTAAAAAAGCGAAGCTGAGACGTCCAGATGGCTAGTTGGGGTTATTCTCTCGTTCCCTACGAGCCAGAAAGCAACGTCCCAGAGCTCCAGTGGGACATGGGGAACTCCTTAAAACTTGTGAGGGGATCTCAAAACTTCTTATATGGGGTGGTGTGCACCATCACTTCGAGAGCAAGTTTGAGGATGTCACTTTAAGGGGCCCATAACCCAAAAAGGCACAAATTCTGAACCATGTTGAAAAAAGGGGTTGGTCGGCCTGCTGGCCGCGCTTTTCAAAGGGATGTCCCATACCTGAAGCGGCGCCCCTTCTTTTGCTAAAGCCAACTTCCGACAAAAAAGGGTGCCCTTGGTTCGAGTTTAACAGCTGCAGCCACCCCTGCCGAGGCCGGCCAGCCAAGGCGGTCCTGTCTTCAGGTTGGAGCAGTTGCTGCTCACCGAGCTGTCGCCCGCCGGCAGGCCCGAGGTACAGGCCTGGACGTTGAAGAAAACATGTGGCGAGTGAGGCACTTCGGCAACGAAAGGCTTCCACCAAGCATTGGGATTGACGATTGCTCGTTTAAACCTTGAAGAAAACAACATCCTCCAGTGACGCGTGGGAGAAATAATTTCTCTTTGGGGTTTAGCATTTTAGTGCATCCGAGCAAAATAAAATGCGACTGCCAGCCTACTTCCAACATAAGGATTTTTTCCACCAAAAGCATGTGCCCGAGAAACTGAAACCAAACAAGCTTTCAATTGAGAAGTTCTTTGTGCAATGGGCTGGCTTGCTCATCTTAATTGTTTGGCTTGAAGTGCAGGCTTGGACAACAAACACCGTCGTTGCGCTGGGTCTTTGCGGGGATGTCGTCACTGGATTTCCCCTCCACGTTCATTAAAGTGACATCCTCCCTCCAAATGACAAGATGTTCATGGTGGTATCCAAGGGGCTCTCACTCCATGCCGAGGATGGACGAAATCCATTTCGCACAACCTTCGAAACCCTGCAATTATACGACTCCCCGGTACATGCGGTTTGACATGGAGATCCATCCAGTGAACCTCAACAGGACCCTTACATTATACACCTGAACATTGCCTCGTAAATGGTGGTTTCCCTCTATTTTGAAATTTTGGTGTTGAAAAAGCAACATGTTTCAAATGGTTGCAAAATGAATTTCTTTTCAGGAGCCCTACCTCAAACTACAGCGATTGTTCTGGGACGCATTCCATCGCACCGTCTGCTTCCCACGGACCCGATTCCGCCTGCGGCTCGCACACGGGCGCCACACCCTGGAGGCCCAAGCTGCCGCCGCTCAGGTCACAGCGCCACTCCTGACACTCAACCAGCAGAAGTCGGGCAGCCTGCAAAGTAGCATGGAACTACACGACCCGTGATTGTGTGATTTTGTGTGTGTGGGGTGTGAGTGTGTCTGGGTGGCTGGGTGGCTGGGTGGCTGGGTGGCTGGGCGGGGGTGGGCGGGTGGGCGGGTGGGCGTGCTTCTGCAGGTCTCCACGTGCCTCTGTCTTTGTGCGTCTCTTCGCCCGTGTCTGTGTGTAAATATCTTTGTCTCTGTGTGTGCGTCAACACTCAGGACCCTTTTTGGGACACTTCCGGAGGCCAAGATGATGATGATGATGATGATGATGATGATGATGATGATGATGATGATGATGATGTTGTCAACCCCATATCAACCGGATGTAGCAGGGTGTTGAATGGAGCGCCTCCTAGAAGCTTAAAGGAGGATAGTCTTCCAGCGAATCCTTTCAGGATCCATGTTGAGTCTTGGCAGGGTTAGCTTGAGGCCAGGGGAGGCAAACCAAAGCTAGCGTCCGCGCGAACAGGAGAAGAGAAGAGCTCACTGTGAGGGGTTGACAGGAGAAGAGCTCGAACAGCCCTGAATCCTCTGCGCGAAAAGCGATCTCAAGAAAGACAATGCGCAACACACGTGGCAGAGTGTAATCAGAGCGCATGTGGAAAAGCGAAACTTCTTGGACCGCAGCCGGCGGTCGAAATTTGAGTTTTGGGCTTGACTGGCTCAATTATTGCTAAAGCAAGACTGTTTGTTGGGTTCTTGGGCTATTGGTTTTGTGGTTTTGCTGGGCTATTGTGCTGCTGGGCTGTTGGGCTGTTGGCTCCAGCTACCAAGTTTGCTTTCCTGAGGTCTGGAATTCCAAGGTCCTCCGCAGCGCTGCCGTTGCTTGAATGCCTCAAGTGGCGGTCCATCACAGGACCTGGGAATAACATCTCCCCGGTTTTCTCAAATGTCTACTTTAGGGTTTAGGGTTTAGGGTTTAGGGTTCGGGGTTTAGGGTACGGTTCCCCCCCCCAAACCACCACCGCTACAGTCAATTTGGCGATATACCCTTTCAACTTAGTGGCTGCACAGTGGCTATATTTCTCATGAAAACCTCTGGGGGTAGGCCTGCGGCAAATGGAAGGTGACAAAAAAGTACTAAACAGGGATTCATAGGATCGAACATTGTCACACACCGCATACCTGTCACAGCCAGTTCCCTTTCGAAGCATGCCCCCCATTCATGCCCTTACTCGCCCACTGGACATGCAAAAGGCTGCGCCTTCGTTTTGTTAACTTGAAAGGGAAAGCCACCGCCCAAAGAAACAACGTTTACCCTTGATGAGGTTGCCTGTCATGTGGAGATTCCCTGGAAGCAACACTGCGGACTCTGATATGGCTCAATGCCGGAATGGATGAAGTTCAAGTCTCGCCAGTGCAAAAACAATTGAGTATTTGGAGGTTGCTCATTGGACCCTCTTTGACATCATCAAAGGCCCGCTCAGCTCTGCCAAGCGACCCTGGCGCGCAAAACACCGCGCAGCGGCTGCCGTAGGTGACGCCTGAAAGAAGCGAGAGAGCAGCAGGGAATGAGTTGGAATGACCGCTATGCGCCATACCCTATGGTTTTCTTTCAGGGAATCCCCTTCCGGTTCATTCTCAACACCCTGGGTCGTTCCCCACTGAGCACCAACAAGTAATTCTTGTGATATTGAAGTGAGTCATCACCATGTCAATCTCTTGAGGGCTTCCCCTTCCGGATCCAGAACAAATGACCCCACAACCACATGGAGGGTTCGGGGTTAGGACACGTTCAAAAGAAAAAACATGCCTGATCAGAATGGGAAACGTACGACTAGAAGAATTCCCGTCCGCGAAGGAAGCTCACTTCAAAGTCCGAAAGGTGACGCTTGACATCTCCGAACAAGCCTCCCGCGCTTAAAGTTGGATGCCAGCAGAATCTCCATCTCAGTTGTTCAGTGACCCTAAGAAAAAGGGAACCCTTTTTGGGGAAGACCATTTTTAGTGAGGCAACCACAAAAACAAAAACAAAAAAAGGAACAAGGGTGCCACTGAACAACTGAGCCATGCTTGTTCACTGAAACTCTCTGATCCGGGAACTCAGCCCAGCAGACCGAGCGAAGTTGACTGACCAGAAACAGCTTGTGTTTGAGGCCCTTAACGCCAACCCTGGCAAGAAGATTCTTGCACCGGCTTCCCCGAATTCACCCGGACCCGGGTGCTTCGAAACATGCTGGACTTTTTGGTCGGAAAAACACCCACCCACCCACCCCCCGCCAAATCTCCGACCCCGGGCCCGGCCTGCGCAGTTGCTCCGCAGCGTGGGGTCCTTCGGCATGAGCTTGGTGCTGAATAGGAGACTGGAAAGTCAAACAACTGCCCATGTCCTTGTGGATTCAGTTTGGTAATGGATGGGTTATTTAAAACACCTGCAGGAACTACCTCAGAACACGTCCTGGTTTGCGTTCGCAAGATCTGACGAATGGCTAGCCGCTTAGCCAGGCGAACAGTCGCCCATCGATTGAAGATGTGGGATCAGGGGGATCGCCCTTACCAGACCTCCAGTGGCGAGGAGAATGGCCGGTAGCTATTCACGTTTAAGGGAAGAACCCCCAATCGGAAATCAGCACCACCAGCGGTGCCTGTCTACTTTTTTTGCAAACAGGAAAAACATTATATCAGGATGTCTGCCCAAGCTGTCCCCCAACAAAAAAAGAAGCCACGTCTGCAATCTGGTCCGCATATGGTGAAACTTATAACGTAAAAACAAATGCAAACCTTAAGCAGCTTAAGCATGAGAAACAATTTCCACAGAGACCCCCAAAACATGTCCCGGAAACGCGCACGCCCCCGCGTGCGTTTGTTTCCGCGCCTGCAGGGCGCTGTGTGTTGGGCACTGCGAGGGTTTGCAGCTGGGTGCGGCGCCGAGCAGGTAGCCTGGCAGGTTGCGTGGGGCGCGGGCATGTTTTAGGCTGAGGGATCACAAAACAACTCATTCTCAAACACAAATTAAAAAGGCAGTAGAAGCAGAGAAGTAGTAGTAGTAGTGGTGGTGGTGGTGGTGGTGGTGGTGGTGGTGGTAGTAGTAGTACTAGAAGTCGTAGCACTGCTACCGTGCGAACTCCCCTTTCCTCACACGAACTTGTCTCCCCCCTCCTCCAGTTCCGCTCGCTTGTTAACTCACCAGCTGGCGCACCTAATAACTTGCTAAGTTACTAACTTGCTAAGTTGCGAACTGGCTAACTTGCTAACCAGCAAACTTACTAACTTACTAACTTATTCTGCATCTCTGCGCCGAATACTGACTTACTAACCGCCCTTTGCTGCAGGGTGCTACTAACTTACCAACTGCTGTCTCCTTTACATGGTCTGGAACAAATTGCGGTTGATCCTGAAATAATCTTTGTTGTATCCTCAATTAATGTCATTTTTGGTGCGTATGCCACAGTCTTTACGGGCTTGTACCTGAGGCTCGCTACCGGTGGGTTGTTGAGCGGAAGCCCAATTCTTCTCCTTGACGACTTGGGTGACCATGTAAGCACTCCAACAAGCATATGGGTGTGTCTTGTTTTGCGGCTCCCCTGTTTGATTTGTTCTCAAGGGAAAACAAAGGGCAACCAAAGGAGCTAGCCAGTTTTGGCAACCAGATTGCGGCTTATTATGAAATTCAAAGAAGCCCAAATCGGCAACCAATGAGTTGTGTTTCAAGCCCTTAGAAATTGAAAACTGTTTGAGGGGGGGGGGGGCTGAATGGAGGGGAACAAAACAAGTTGAATAATTTGCTCAGCGAGACGAGCTCATTCGATGGACAAAACTGCCTGTAACATGACCAAAGCGAAGATGACTAACCTCATGAGCAAAAAAGCAACAGGTTCCCAATCACCCGGGTGGAAGGGTCACTATGCAGCTGCAACGTGGCATCCGGTGGCATCTGTTCGCTTCCCCTTGCAGCGTGCCAAGAGGAGGACCTTGGTTCCACACTAAACATCCCCCCTTTTGGAGAAGCTCACTGTCAGACTTGTTGGGTGAAGACTACAGCCCAACGGGTGGCGGTTTAACGCCCCACTAAAACTGGAGACACATGGCAGTGGCTCAAAATTAAAGAGCTAGGGTTACGCTTCCTCTTACCAGGGTTCCATTTTGGTACCGGTTTTTTGAGCCATACCCACATGCCCCGGCAATTTGGCCGAGATGGCTTTTTCGTCCTTTTGCGGTGAGCTCTTGTGGAGCCCTGTCTACGGGATGCGGAACCCTCTTGGAGAACCAACTGGGTGTGCCTGCCTTTTCAAAGAGAAGCCGAAAGGAAACCGACACCAAAGGATCTCATTGTGTGACAAACCCACGTTTGTCACGGCCGTTCCCCTAGAAGGAACCCTTCAATTGGTGGTCCAAACAAACCTGGAGATTCAAAAGTCAAATAATTCCTGGTAATTCAAAAGCACACATACGCAAAACGCCTGAAACGCCTCCTAAAACGCCTTGAGAACTAGAACACCTAAAAAATCCTCGGCACTGAAATCTCCAGGAAGAGGAAACTCCTCCGAAACGGACGCTTTCCCCACGCGACGCGAATCGGACCGGCAACGAACCCGATGGCCATCGCCTGTGGCGTCGCAGGTGAGGCTCGAGGTGTTGGGCTCGAAGCCGGGCTGGCAAGTGACCTCGATCTCACCGATGGAGGCGAAACCCGTGACTCACCCAGGGGGCTGGGAGGTGACATGAGTTCTGAAAATGGAACTCACCCACCCTAAACAAGGCATGCCCGGCACACGTGCCCGAGTCGACCCAGGCATCAACAAAATACATACGTACACCTTTGGAAAACACACAGTTGGAATTACCAAATGGGTGTCTGTTCTTGAGACTACCCCCGCTTGGCTAGTTTTAGCGGGAAATCAGAAGGATGCAAAAGGCAAACCACATTTTTATTTAATGGGGCGGGGCCTACAAAAACCCCACACACCCAAAAGCAACAAAAACACCTAATGGCAATCCCCACTCGTCGGCGAGGCTCGCCCCAACCCGCTTGCCTCGCAGGTCTCGCTGGTGGTCACGGAATTACAGCCTGCCGAGGGTTTGTTTGACTTTTTCTTTTGGGGGGGCAAGGGTTGACCTTGTTGTTTCTCTGTTTTCTGGAAGGGGGGGCCAAAGAGGCTGAATCGCCCCAACTTTCGTTGGTTCAAAGGGCCATTCCAGGCGCAGGCGAGTACATGTCCGCACGGCACCCCAAAAGAGTCTTCCTTTTGGTTGCCTTTCCTTGTTCTTCGTTCCCTTCTCCAACTTAAGGCCAAGTTTTGACGCCCTTGTAGGATCCCGCGCCCTCTCCTTTGCCCGTCCAGCAAGTGAGCCCGAGGAGCTTAGCCCCAACGAGGCCTCACCGGACAGGAGGCACCATTTTTTGAGCCGCGTTACCCACTCTCGGATACTCTCGGGCAGCATAAGAAACAACTCCCAAACATGCTAAGCTTCCCTTTTGGAGTGGCCCCTCTGCAGTACTGCAAGGTGTGCCACAAACCTTCACATTAGCACCTGACTTCGGGAGTCATGACGCTGCACAGCTCGGATGCCCTCTGCCGACGCCCGCCTGTCGTGTTCAAGGCCGCATTGCTCCGAGGCTGGTTGCAGGGATTCCCCGTGCACGTGGGGAGTGCCCCAGTGAAGCTCTGGTTGGCCTGAGTGGCAAAGAGAACATCGACAGCTTCTGCCCCCCACTATTTGGGAAGAACTTGGGAGCTCCGTAAGCTGCCTCAATTTACAAGGACACTATGATTCTGACCCAGCCCACTGTTTGCTGATTGAGATCACGCCAGTTCTTTTGCAAGGCTCGGAGCCCCGATGTCCAATCTAGAAGTTGACAGCAAGAGTGGCTGAAGCTTGATGAGAGAACAACGCCACCAACCGTCTGGCTTTGTTTTGCACACTTGCGCAGAACAAGGTTAGGTACAGACCAGGATCAAAAAAATACATGTAGCTTTGGAAGACACTGCAGCAAACTCGCATGTTTGCAACCCCCCCCCAAACCCCACGATTCCAAGGTTCATACACTATAAATCATCCTTGTGTATGGCTTGCAGGTAGGTATGTCTGTGTGGGCTATGTGTAAGCATGGCTGTGGAAAATGAGCCTTCTGAGATAATTCCCCAAATGAGCACCCCATCCCTACGACCGCTTTCGTCGTTTCCAAAGGGCTTTTGTGGTCAGTGCAACGAAAAAGCCAATTTCAAGGACATATGTAGCAAGCGAATACATACAAGTTGAGTATGGGAAAAAGTATCTATATATATATATATACAATCTACATATGTACAAACACACATACCAAGCATGAAAATATAAAACATATCAATCGGTACTACACAGCAACATGATGATTGCTAGGCCGCTGGTCAACCTGTTTATTACCTGGGATCTTGTGTCACTCTCATCTCGTTTCCCACGCTCTATTCTCTCCAGACCCTTTCCATTTACGTGCGAATCTAGTGTTTGTTTTATTGAAGATTCCAAGGGATGAGAGATACAATCATGAAAAGTTAGGAATGATGAGATATGTGTACTGCACATAAACAGGGTGTCGGCTGAGGTGTTGGAACGTCTTGTACAGAAGTGCGTACAAATAGTTATGGTATTCATAGATTTGTATATATACATATATATATATATACATCACTATGATACATACGTCCTGCATATGCACAGGGACGTGGGTGAAAAAGCGCAGCCATAGCAAAAAACACCGCGCGCCTGGCAGGTGAACTGCCCGCTGGTGCTGACAAGGCTGTAACCTGCCGCCCGGGTTTCAAAGGTTGAAACTTGACTCGATTGCGAAAGAAAGTTTGGCCCGGGGACATGGCTGTGGGTCAGGTGCACCACCCATTTTAGTCTATTTTAGTGGGGACTGGGATGCTCACTGGGGGTACGGGCTTTTGACCCATGGCCACATCTAAACTTAGGAAATGAGATGGGATGACCCCCAAGAACCATCCCCTGTGGTTTCCTGTCAAAAAATCCCCTTCAAGTTCATTCCCAAACCCTTGCAAATTCCAAAATAGTTGTTCTCCTTTCGGCTTCCCTTTCAAACATGGTAGTTGTATATGACTCAAGGTCTGGGATACGCCTGCCTTCCCCTCAGCCAGAATCCATACACCATTCTGTCTAAAACCCTGCTCGAAGGTTTATGATCCTGGTTGTCGCAATGCACCAACCCGCCTTTGGCACATCCCACTGAGCAGGTATCCTCATAGCGTTGTCCTGGTGCAAGAGCCGCCCATTCCTCCTTTGCCTCGTTTCTATTCACGCTCTTATTTCCTTTGTTTGTTTACCCTATTTCACCCCACCCGAACGGTCTTTGAGAGCCACAGGGAAGGAATGCAAAGCACCACGCTGCTCAGGCAAGCGAGAATCGCACTCACCTAAAACCAAGAGGTTTTTATCTGTTGGCCCTCATTGTGGCCCCATGACTGAGAGCATATGCGAATACAGCTTGACACCCTTGCCTGCAATTATCCATACGTAGCTGTTGCTGTGCCCAAAGGAGGGCATTTTTACGCATCACCAGCAGCTGGACGACCGAGACAAGCAAATCAAAAAGCCAAAGTCCCGGCCTGAACAGCTGGGAAAACGCTTCGTTCTTTGCAGCCTCCCTGCTTAACACAAACGGAATCAAACTAAAACACGTGCCAAGAACAGTCAAGGTTATCCCATGTGTCCTCTGCAGGTATGCTGAAAGCTCGCGCCCAAGGACAGGTCTGAGCACTGCACGCGCTCACCTGATGGAAGCGGGAAGAAACCAAGAGAAACTATGTCTCACTTCCTGAGCGGATTGGGCGAAAAGTCCAACCTGTTTGTTTACCCCTCAAAATTGTCTTCCAAAGGTACAACGTTCAGGAACTCAGGCAGTGCGATGCAATTCACTGAGTTGATTACTACAAAATGACGCGTGATGACGCGTGAGTCCCGAGGATAAACATAGCTTTCGCTGACCCAACAGCAATGACGACAAGAAAAGCAACCAAAGGCGGCAGCAGCAACCAACAGCCCACAAGCAACTTTTAAGTGACAGCTCCTAAGAGTCCAAGTTCAACGTTTGATCAGCTTCCCCCTCATTGGTGGTTTGGATTGAACATTTTGGGATTTGAACGCCTGGTTGTTGTTGAGGGTAAATGAGAAGCCATCCCGCAACCACCAAATCATCAATTGGAGGGAAGCTGACTTGATCAAAGCAGCTCTAAGCCAAAAAAACCAACGGCCAAGTCGCAGGTCGGAGTGTCCCCCGTGAAGCTTCCCGTAGGCTGGCAGGTGAAGGTCGCGGCAGAATTGCCGCTGGAGTAGGTGTAGCCCACCTAGCGTAGCCGTTTTGGGGCAAGCGGAAACCAAAAGGACAAGCCTCAAAAGAGGGTCCCCTAAAAGGTACAATGATTGGAGCAAACCTAGAGAAACCCCAATTTTCCCGCGAGCTCAAACCAGCTCCAGGTTGGAAAACGGGCGGCAAAAACCCTTACAGTGGCGATGTTGCATGAAGCCCCCCAAAAGAAGGACCCTTTGGACTGTCAGTTAGTTTGCAGGGCTACACGCGAAAACGCGGCAACCCACCAAGCATGGAACCGAGCGCGAACCTAAGCTTCGACAGGCCCAGGCCCGGCGGGGAAAGCAAACCTCTGAACCTACTGGGCACTTGGAACACACCCCTAGTTGTCCTGGTGAGATTCCCAAGCTGCGAATAGGTGCTGGTGGGCTTTCTCAAAAGGTTAGTTGAATGTTCCCTTGCCTTTGCTGTGCGGTTTTGAGGCGCATGCTTTGCGGCCAAAAAAGGTAGCAACCGGCAAAGGGCAGCCCAGGTGGACTTTTTTACTTGGCCCGCCTACCCAGTTTAGCCATCCAAGCGAGTTCAACAGCCCCCAGCACACGAGGATACACGCATGGACCCCAGTAGAGAGGCATTTTGGGCAAATGTTGTTCCATTTCCACTGGCGTCGGCCGTCTGCTGCGCCAAGCTTCGGCGGTGCAGGTTGCCGTGCACGTCTCCGCTGAGCGCACCCCGTCGCCTTGGGCTCTTCCGCGCGGCACGCGGCGCAGGCATACACCCCACACCGGCGGGAAAAAGAGAACCGGCCGCCCATGGGGCCGCCCGTGCTTTTTGCAATCAGCCCCTTTTTCAACACCTTGGCATGGATGGATGCACTTTTGCTTTTGCTCGCCTTGGCATGGATGCACTTTTACTTTTCTTTTGGCATTGGCATGGATGCATTTCTACTCGCACGTGCGGTAATTGAAACTTTTCTGGGGAAGGCCATCCACTGGAGGCATCTTTCCTCTCCGCCATTTTCTAGCAATTTGTATTCTTCAAGGACTCCAGTTGTATTCCCTGCACGCATTCCCTCAGTATTCCCCCTACTAATATTCCCCTAATATTGCCCTACTATTCCTTTAGCATTTTCTTGGTTTATCCCCGGTATTTGCTTGGTACAATCCTAATCTTCTCTAGTATTTCCTCCGCAGTATCCCCTTAATATTCCCTCAGCATTTTTCTCAGCATTCCCCTATGTGTTCTCCTGGTATTCTCCTAATTTTGCCCAGTGTTCCTTTAAGATTCTATGGGTACACCCCTAGTATTCTCAAGGTATTCTCCCAGTATTTCCCTAGTACGTCCCTAGTATTCCCTTAATATTGGCCCAGCATTCCCCTTCATTCCTCTATTGTTTCCCTATTCCTTCAGTACTCTCCGACCCCTAGTAATTGTATTGTCCTAGCATTCCTTTAACATTGCTTAGTATTTTCTCGTTTTCCCTAGTATTATCCTAGTATTACCCTAGTCTTCCCTTTGTATTCCCCCTGGTATTCCCCCATTATCCCTTGGTGTTCCTATTTGTTTTAGCATTATTTATCTTAGTATTCCGTTAGTTTTCCCTTGCTATTCCCTGTGAATTCCTCTATTTTTTCTTTAAGACTTCGCCTAGCATTCCCCTATTCCTTTAGTCTTCTTCTACCCCTAGTGTTCCTCAGCACTCTCACAATATTCCCTGAGCTGTTGTCTGCTAGATTCTTATTCTCTCCTCGAGGGGAAACGAAACATGACTTGCCTACCAAATTGTTGCTTTCTTCGTTTTTCCCCTATGGCCATAGAGGAAGTCTGGGCTTGCTTTTCGACTCCGCACATGCAGGAATGCCAAAACCTCGAGGAAACCAACCAAAAATACAAATCCTGAGGGGGAAATGAAGGGAAGTTGAGTGCCTGAGCTGCTGTCTGCCAGATTGTTTTAAACCAAAAAAAAACAAAGAAACACAATCCTGAGGGGGAAATGAAAGGAGATGACTTGCCCGAGCTTTTGACTGCCAGATTGTTGTTTTGTTTGTTTTGTCCATGACTTTACTGCGCTGCAAAAACGCAGGCCCCATGATGCAGAAATTATTTCTCTCATGCACGCACGAAACATGTATTGGGGGGCAACCCGTACAATGAAGGAATGCCTCAAGCATGGTCCCTCCAATTAGGTTGAATCTGAGCATGCTACGAAAACATTCGAAAACATTATACTTGTTTTGGAGTTATTGCAATGAACTGTCAAGCGGACTCGGCTGCATTTGTTTGCACCCGAACTGCTTGAAGCGGTGCCCAACTTGTGACCTCCGAAACTTTTTTGGGCCCTCGAGCGAGCGCAAGGCCGCCTTCAAGGCGACGGAGACTTTTCAGCCCTCTTGGAGCCGGGATGATGTTCTCTATGCCAACCAATGGGCCTGGAAAATAACAACTAAAACACGCCAAGCCCTGTTGGTTTCCTGCTGCATGCCTAGCAATCCTAGCAACTCTCGCCTTCTCAGCGATCAAAACCGGAATGTAGTGATGTAAGCGGTCTCACAAGCCATTTGCATGCTTGGATTGTCACTTTTATCAAGCATACAACGTGCACAGAAAGCAAGTGTAGTGTAAATAGCCTTGATGTTTGGAATACATATGGAATCCCTGCATACTTGGTTTCACAAAACGTGACCTTCGTCACTTCAGAGAGCAAGAGAGCGACAGAGCGGAGGGCGCGGAGAGAGCGGAGAGAGATAGAGAAAAATGCAAAATACAGAGAACGGAGAAGAGAAACAAAGAGAGAGAAAGAGATAGAGAACAAAAGAGAAGAAGAGAAAGGGAGAAAGAGAGAAAGGGAGAAAGGGAGAAAGAGAAAAAGAAAGACACAAAGAAAGAGAAAACGAGAGACAGAGAGACAGAGAAAAATAAATAAAGAAATAAATAAATAAACAAATAGAGGAAAGAAAGAAGGAAGCAAGGAAGGAAGGAAGGAAGGAAGGAAGGAAGGAAGGAAGGAAGGAGGGATTCAACAAGTTCAACATCTCAGGGTGAATGATATGTCACACATGGTTGTCTCGTTTCGGCTACAATTCGAGAACTAAATCTGCGTATCCCCAGGTGCTTCATTTTGAGCCACACCCACATCATCATCTCTGCCGAAGCTTGCTGAGCTGCAATTGTGCTCCACGCCGGGGCCGTCCGGAAAGGAGTAGCTGCAGGGGAGCGGAGTGCACGTTGGCAGGGCAGCACCCACCAGGAAACCTCAGGCGCCGCTGCCGAGAAAACGGATGAAGATCCATCCACGCCATAGGGTTGGAAAAATCATGGGAAACCGTTTGGGAAAATTGTTTTCATGTCCCTTCCCCATAGACTCCATCCCAGCTATGCCAGGCAAACACAGAAAGCCGCAATCCTGGGGAGGCTTAGGTCCAAAGTGTGAAACGCCATGATTTGCCTTGGCTTGATGGTGGGGTGCCAAATTGAAACGTGACATTTTTGCTTGCCATGCTCACAGTTCGCTTCCGGGCAACCCGCCAAATTCAGCGAAACGAGCCCAACAGGTCCCGAGCCAACCGGCGTCCGACGCCGCGCCAAGGCACCGTTGTCGCAGAGGAAGATGGAAGGCGCGGTCTGGTGCAAGGGACACCAAAAGACCCGGCACAGAGTGCCCATGTCACCAAACATCATCCCACCAAACAGGCCTCCAACCCATCCAAGAGGGTGCTTCAGGGATGCTTGAACTATTGAGTATACGGCACATAGCCGGCCGTGGGGGTTTTCTCATGCACGTCACCGCCTCTGCGCTCATGCGCTGTAAATTCCATGGGGGAAACGTGTTTTCCTGAGACACTCCCTTCAATTTCACACGCAAACCTACGTTTCGTCCCATGAGCGCCACGTTATTCAAGAGTCCGAGGACTGTTTCGCAATGGGGTGCAACTACTTGCAAAGACACAGCGAACACCATTTTGCATGCTTGGTGTATGTGGTCGCTTGGTGTCATGTGAATGTATTGAACACCTCCGTTTTGCCCTCATGACACTGCCAAGGACCCCACGTTCAACATCGACATCCTGATAGGCCACAGAATGTTTATTGACACATATGTATATATATATATATATACATGTGTTTATATATCAATTCCTGCAAGGGTTTCCTTTTGCTACTTGTGTGAACCCTCTGCGCAACAGAAAATGCCCCTCCACTTTCAAAAGCAAAACATAGTCGAAATGCATCGTGACACGGCAACGAACCTGCGTGTACGGAGGGCTCATGTAAAGCACGGCGCATGCCGACGAACGTAATTAAATCCCCAACCCTCCATTCCGCCCCCACGTGCGCTGCTGCGTGTACGACGGGCTCACGCAAAGCACGGCGCGTGCCGACGAACGTAGTTACATCCCCACCCCCCCATCCCCCCCAATTCCCCCCTTCAATCCCCCAATCCCCCACTTCAACCCCCCCATCCCCCCCCAACCCCACTCAGCTGAAAACCCCGCGGCCGTCTATGTGCCGTGGACCAACTACTGAAAGGACTCCTGAGGCCCTCGGTGCAAGGTCGCAAGGTGAAAAGCACTGTCGGTCTTGTCAGCATTTATTTCTCGCTGAATGATTCAGGGTACCCTCACAAAGTGACACATCTCTAATCTGAGCATCGCTGTTCGCTGCAGATCTGCTCTAGGTCTCTTGGGTGAATCTATGCCGCTGCTAGCCCTTCGGAACAAAGAGACACCCCTCCAATCAACAGATTGCCCATTCATCAACTATCCAAAGGACTGTATCAATCATACTGAAACAGCGACCAACATGTTTGCTAACTCTTCAGGGACAACTGGACGGAGACCAACCATTTCGGAAAGGCGCCTTAAATCTCCCCAAGTCTCTTCAAGAAGCGAAACAAGCCAATTTCCGATGCGCTCACTGCCTCAGTCATGTTCCAGCCCTGCGAGCAATGAGCAACGCAGGCGTCATCGTGCACCTGACGCTACAGAAAGTCATACGCAACAGCGAAATGCCACTGGCGTGTTTGCCTAGGATCAGCAGCAACATGGGTGGTGACCATGATAAACTCCCACGTCAGTGTCATCTACCCATGTCCCGATGCAGGAAACCTTTTTACACTTCTGACAAACTCCTCACATGGCCATGTGGCTGTTGATTCCGTTGGACAGAAGGCTCCTCTATTAGGTGTCCTTTGGCCTGATGTCAGGTTGCAGAAAGGCACCACACTTACGGGGGAGCACCACTTTGGCCTTTTTTGGTACAGAATGCAAATTCTGCGCACCCACCGGGACATAGAAAAAGAGCAACATGTCACATAATTACACACAAACAAACATACAAACAAACACAAACAAACACACACACACACACCCACAAACACAAACAAACACAAACAAACACAAACAAACACAAACACACACACAGACACACAGACACACAGACACGCAGACACACAGACACACAGACACACAAACACACAAACACACAAACACACAACACACAAACACACAAACACGCAAACACACAAACACACAAGACACACAAGACACACAAAAAAAAAAAAAAAAAAAACAAGACACACAAGACACACAAGACACACAAGACACACAAGACACACAAGACACACAAGACACACAAGACACACAAGACACACAAGACACACAAGACACACAAGACACACAAGACACACAAGACACACAAGACACACAAGACACACAAGACACACAAGACACACAAGACACACAAGACACACAAGACACACAAGACACACAAGACACACAAGACACACAAGACACACAAGACACACGCCCGCCCGCGCCCGCCCGCCATACCGCCCGCCGCCGCCGCCCGCCCGCCCGCCCGCCGCCCGCCCGCCCGCCCGCCCGCCCGCCGCCCGCCCGCCCGCCCGCCCGCCCGCCCGCCCGCCCGCCCGCCCGCCCGCCCGCCCGCCCGCCCGCCCGCCCGCCCGCCCGCCCACCCGCCCGCCCCGCCCGTGTATATATACATAGCCATATATATATATATACATATATATGCCTTATACATATGCCATAGCCAACCATATACATACCATATACATACATACATATATATCCAGCCATATATATATATATACATATATATATACATAACCATATACATAACCATATATATATATATATACACCATATATACATATACAACATATACATATATAGCCATATATATATATACATATACCATACCACATATACATATATACATCCCATATATCTGCTCCATACCACATACCTTTTATACATACCTTGCGCACGCCACCTGCCATACCGCCCACGCACGCACCATACACACGCGCATATACGCACACGCGCACGCACGCACGCACGCTACGCACGCATACGCACGCACGCACGCACGCACGCACGCACGCACGCATAACACACACACATATATATACGCACACGCACACGCACATACACGCACACGCACACGCACGCACGCACACGCACACGCACACGCACACACGCACACGCACACGCACACGCACACACGCACACGCACACGCACACGCACGCACACTGCCACTAGACACACAAAACACACACAAACTACACAGACACACAGACACACAGACAGACACACAGACAGACACACAGACAGACACACAGACAGACACACAGACAGACACACAGACAGACACACAGACAGACACACAGACAGACAGACACACAGACAGACACACAGACAGACACACAGACCTGAACCACACAGACCACACAGACACAAACAGACAGAACCTGAGACAGACAGACACACAGACACTGAACCACACAGACACACAGACACACAGACACACAGACACACAGAGACACAGAGACACAGAGACACAGAGACACAGAGACACAGAGACACAGAGACACAGAGACACAGAACACAGAGACACAGAAACACAGAGACACACACACACACCAACACCCACACACACAGACACAAACACGCGCGCGCGCACGCACGCCTGGCGCTGCACGTACGCACGTACGCACGTGCGCGCGCACGCACGCGCACGCGCCCCGCGCACCCTACCATTTTGCACCCACCACCCACACCCACACCCACACCCACACCCACACCCACACCCACACCCACACCCACACCCACTCCCACTCCGCACGCACGCACGCACCCACACACACACACACCCACACCCTGCTCAATAAGTGAGTTCGATGACTGAGTGGACAGAAGGCCTTTGCAAAACAGTGCCCTTCCAACACCGTCACAGAAGCTTTTGTTTGGAGCCCTGAGCTCCGAGCGCCGGGCGGAGGTCGCTAGCTTACAAGCAAAGGAAGCAATAGTCCTAGAACCTGCAACAAGGGACCAGCCAACAAGAGAAACTGAGAACGTCTCCCGGCTCTTCGTTTTCTCTAATTGTAAAGATATGCATCGTTGTTTGTGCTTGTTTCATCTGCTCTAGCTCATCAGATCCATGATAGCCTTGACTGGATATGTCCAGCCAAGGAACACCGTCCTCGCCAAGTACGGCCCTATTTTATGAACCTCACTCAAGAAGGCTGGGTTTGGTTGTGATTGCCTCGCTCAGGAAGGCTGCGTTTAGCTAAGGGTTGGTCCCAAGCAAGTCTTTATCTTGCGCCAAAAGCTCCGCCC